ACTATTGTGTATCAGGGTTGCTCATGGACTACCCCCTTGAAAAATTGTTTGAGTGATGTTTTTTACTTGGGTTTTAATAAGGCATCATATATTTTGGTAAATTGGGCATTTCTGAGAATTCTAAATAAAAGAAACTAATTGAGAAAATAAAAAAAACTTTAGCAAAGGAAAATGTAAAGGGAATGTAAAAAAAACAAAATCACCTCAGGAAGCAGCTGGACACAATGGTGTACCCTCAAACAAACCATACTATTGTGTATCATGATCATTCATGTTTTTTTTTGCTTGGCTGAAACTAATCCTTTAGAAAGCCTTTGGTTTTGATTTCAAGAAAAATGAAGCTAATTAAAAGGAAACAAATTTTAGCAAAGGAAAATGTAAAGGGAATGTTAAAAAACAAAATCACCTCAGGAAGCAGCTGGACACAATAGTGTACCCTCAAACAAACCATACTATTGTGTATGATGATCATTCATGTTTTTTTTGGTTGGCTGAAACTAATCCTTTGGAAAGCCTTTGGTTTTGATTCCAAGAAAAATGAAGCTAAGTAAAAGGAAACAAACTTTAGCAAAGGAAAAAGGAAAAGGTAAAGGGAATGTTTCAAAAAAAATCACCTCAGGAAGCAGCTGGACACAATAGTGTACCCTCAAACAAACCATACTATTGTGTATCATGATCATTCATGTTTTTTTTTTTGCTTGGCTGAAACTAATCCTTTGGAAAGCCTTTGGTTTTGATTCCAAGAAAAATGAAGCTAAGTAAAAGGAAACAAACTTTAGCAAAGGAAAAGGAAAAGGAAATGGTTGAAAAAAAAACATAACCTCAGGAAGCAGCTGGACACAATAGTGTACCCTCAAACAAACCATACTATTGTGTATCAGGGGTGTAAATGGACGACCCCCTTTGAAAAAATTGTTGGAGTGATGTTTTTTAATTGGTTTGATAAGGAATTTCATATATTTTGGGACATTCAGCATTTCTGGAAATTCTAAATGAAAGAAACTAATTGAGTGAAAATAAAAAATAAACTTTAGCAAAGGAAAAGGTAAAGGCAATGTTTCAAAAAAAATCACCTCAGGAAGCAGCTGGACACAATAGTGTACCCTCAAACAAACCATACTATTGTGTATCATGATCATTCATGTTTTTTTCCTTGGCTGAAACTAATCCTTTGGAAAGCCTTTGGTTTGATTCCAAGAAAAATGAAGCTAAGTAAAAGGAAACAAACTTTAGCAAAGGAAAAGGAAAAGGAAATGGTTGAAAAAAAACATAACCTCAGGAAGCAGCTGGACACAATAGTGTACCCTCAAACAAACCAGACTATTGTGGATCTCGATCATTCAATTGATTTGAAGTTACTTTCAATTGATTTCAATTTACTTTCAATTGATTTCAATTTACTTTCAATTTACTTTGAATTGATTTCAAATTACTTTGAATTTACTTTCAATTGATTTCAATTTACTGCCAATTTACTTTCAATCGGCATTCCATAGAAATCCAATAGTAGTCCCAAAGAATTTTAATAGAAATCCCATAGAAAGATCATAGAAATAACATGGAAATCCCATAGGAATCTCACAGAAATCCCATAGGAATCTCACAGAAATCCCATAGAAAGATCATAGAAATAACTAAAATAACATGGAAATCCCATAAGAATCTCACAGAAATCCCATAGAAAGATCATAGAAACAACATGGAAATCCCATAAGAATCTCACAGAAATCCCATAGAAAGATCATAGAAATAACTGAAATAACATGGAAATCCCCTAGGAATCTCACAGAAATCCCATGGAAAGATCATAGAAATAACATGGAAATCCCATAGGAATCTCACAGAAATCCCATAGAAAGATCATAGAAATAACTGAAATAACATGGAAATCCCATAGGAATCTCACAGAAATCCCATAGAAAGATCATAGAAATAACATGGGAATCCCATAAGAATCTCACAGAAATCCTATAGAAAGATCATAGAAATAACATGGAAATCCCCTAGGAATCTCACAGAAATCCCATAGAAAGATCATAGAAATAACATGGAAATCCCATAGGAATCTCACAGAAATCCCATAGAAAGATCATAGAAATAACATGGAAATCCCATAGGAATCTCACAGAAATCCCATAGAAAGATCATAGGAATAACATGGAAATCCCATAGGAATCTCACAGAAATCCCATAGAAAGATCATAGAAATAACATGGAAAATCCCATAAGAACTCCACAGAAAGAAATGCCCATAGAAAGATCATTAGGAAATAACAGGAAGTCCCATAGGAATCTCACAGAAATCCCATAGAAAAAGATCATAGAAATAAACTTGAAAAACATGGAAATTCCCATAGGCATCTCACAGAAAATCCCATAGAAAAGATCATTAGAACATAACATTGGAAATCATAGATCTCACAGAAAATCCCATAGAAAGTCATAGAAATAACATTGGAAATCCATAAGAATCTTCAAAGAAATTCCCATAGAAAGATCATAGAAATAACATGGAAATCCCATTAGGAATCTCACCGAAATCCCATAGAAAGATCATAGAAATAACATGGAAATCCCATAAGAACCTCACAGAAATCCCATAGAAAGATCATAGAAGTAACATGGAAATCCCATAAGAATCTCACAGAAATCCCATAGAAAGATCATAGAAATAACATGGAAATCCCATCGGAATCTCACAGAAATCCCATAGAAATCTCACAGAAATCCCATAGAAAGATCACAGAAATAACATGGAAATCCCATAAGAATCTCACAGAAATCCCATAGAAAGATCATAGAAATAACATGGAAACCCCATAAGAATCTCACAGACATCCCATAGAAAGATCATAGAAATAACATGGAAATCCCATAGGAATCTCACAGAAATCCCATAGAAAGATCATAGAAATAACTGAAATAACATGGAAATACCATAGGAATCTTTCAGAAATCTCACAGAAAGATCATAGAAATAACATGGAAATCCCATAGGAATCTCACAGAAATCCCATAGAAAGATCATAGAAATAACATGGAAATCCCATAGGAATCTCACAGAAATGCCATAGAAAGATCATATCAACATCATGGAAATACCTTGGAAAACCCACAGGAATCCAATAGAAATTCCATAGGAAAGATCATAGAAATACCATAAAAATCCCATAGGAATCCAATGGAAATTCCATAAGAATACCATAGAACTCCCATAGCACCCCTTCAGAAATCCCATAGAAATCCTCCAGAAATATCATAGAAACATCATGGAGACCTCATAGGAATTCCATAGAAATCCAATAGTAATACCATAGAAATACCATAAAAGAAAAAAAACTTTAGCAAAGGAAAAGGAAACGGAAATGGTTGAAAAAAAACATAACCTCAGGAAGCAGCTGGACACAATAGTGTACCCTCCAAACAAACCACACTATTGTGTATCAGGGTTGCTCATGGACTACCCCCTTGAAAAATTGTTTGAGTGATGTTTTTTAATTGAGTTTTAATAAGGCATCATATATTTTGGGAAACTGGGCATTTCTGAGAATTTCAAATGAAAGAAACTAAGAAATAAATTAATTGAAAGGAAAACACTTTAGCTAGCAAAGGAAAAGGTAAAGGAAATGATTGAAAAAAAAAAAAATCATGACCTCAGGAAGCAGCTGGACACAATAGTGTACCCTCCAAACAAACCACACTATTCTGTATCAGGGTTGCTCATGGACTACCCCCTTGAAAAATTGTTTGAGTGATGGTTTTTAATTGGGTTTTAATAAGGCATCATATATTTTGGGAAACTGGTCATTTCTGAGAATTTCAAATGAAAGAAACTAAGAAATAAATTAATTGAAAGGAAAACACTTTAGCTAGCAAAGGAAAAGGTAAAGGAAATGATTGAAAAAAAAATCATGACCTCAGGAAAGCAGCTGGACACAATAGTGTACCCTCCAAACAAACCACACTATTCTGTATCAGGGTTGCTCATGGACTACCCCCTTGAAAAATTGTTTGTGTGATGTTTTTTAATTGTGTTTTAATAAGGCATCATATATTTTGGGAAACTGGTCATTTCTGAGAATTTCAAATGAAAGAAACTAAGAAATAAATTAATTGAAAGGAAAACACTTTAGCTAGCAAAGGAAAAGGTAAAGGAAATGATTGAAAAAAATCAAAATATCATGACCTCAGGAAAGCAGCTGGACACAATAGTGTACCCTCCAAACAAACCACACTATTTTGTACCTGGATGTAATTTTCTGTGGAAGGCATCTGGAAAATTTCAATGATGGAAAATAAAAAGTAAAAGGAAAAAGCTTTAAAAAATGAAAAAAATGAAAAATGTTTGAACAACAAAAAAAGACCAAGACACAATTGTGTATCCTGACACAATTTTACAAAATAATAAAAAAACTATAATTAAAAATAAAAATAATTAAATTAAAAATTATTATCATTAAAAATAAAAATAAATAATAATTTAAAATAAAATAAAAAAATAATTAAATAATTAAATTAAAAATTATTATAATTAAAAATAAAAATAATAATTTAAAATAAAATAAACAATAATTAAATAATTAAATTAAAAATTATTATAATTAAAAATAAAAATAAATAAAAATTTAAAATAAAATAAAAAACAATTAAAAACTAAAAAACAAAAAAATGAAAAAAAAAACTTACACCAAAATCCTGTGGACACAATAGTGTACCCCTCAAACATTTCCAGAGTTACAGAATAATTTTGAGGTCTGTGGACACAATAGTGTATCCCCACACTAATCCGTATCCAACATTATGTATGTATGTATGTATATATGTATGTATGTATGTATGTATGTATGTTTGCATTTATGTAATGTAACATAATGTCATGTAATCGTGTATTCGGTAGAACGTAGGGTTAGTTAGTGTTGGCTGTTGTTAGTGTTGGCTGCTGGATCTTGTTGCTCAAGATTTTGCAGCCCCCATCTCAGGGTAATAGACCTTCGTCACAAATGCCATCCTTCCCATGGTGCCTAGCCTTGACTGCATGCCTGGGGGCTGGCCCTCTCACCGCCTTAGACCTTCCATGGAATTGGATGGGCTTAGATGATGTGGGGGGCCCCTCTGTCAGCGATAGTGCAGCCCCGGGTCCTGAGGCGTCCTGGGAGAAAGGAGGTGAGACCCATTCAGAGACTCGCGAAGGGTATGCCCATGTGTGGGGACATTCCGTTTTCCATTTTGATGTCAGCTCATGGTTCGGGCCAGCGTGGTTCAGCACCCCTCTGAAGCCAGGATCATTGAGCTCCTCAGGAGGCTGGGGGTTGTACTTCCTAGATAGCTTCGGAGTTCTCACGTGTGGCGAATTTTGGCCCTGGATAGCCTGGGGGGTCTTAGGCTTGCTGGCTATTACTCTCTCTGTGCTGGGCCTCTATGTCGTTGCGTCTGTGTGTCGGCCGTTCCGGCTGCTTTGCAAATGTTGTTGCAGGCAGACCCGTGCGGTTGCACAGGAGGTAGGAGAATTCCTCCCGGAGCTTCAAGTTGGCGGAAGTTATGAAGCCCTTAGACTGCGGGGGCCACACACACGGGATGGCGTCGATTCTGAATTCTTCCAGAGGAGTGTGAAAGGGAGAGGGTCAGAACGAAAGCCCAATGATGTGGTGGTGCTCCTTGACGAGCAGGCAGCCCGGCTGAGACCTGATTGCGATCATTGGCCTAGGGTTGACCGACATGGGCTCTGGGTCCGCTTGCGAGAAGTGAAAGGTGCATCGTCCCGCTCATTGAGGCAAAGGCTGGAGCTGGAAGGTCGGATCCACTTATGTAGGGAGAGCCAATGCCCATTGGCTCTTGCACCGACCCCTGGAATTCATTGCAAGGCATACGCTGCAATCGATGCCAACAGCCTAGCTGATCTAGGGGCCTATGCGGGGTGGTCCACCCGTCGAGTGGTGGTCCTGTTGGGAAGATGGGTCCGGCGTGTGGGTCGGATCCTCAGCTTGCTGTTTTACTTTGGAACTGGATGTTTTCTCCTGAGGAGAGGCTTCAAGAGGAACAATGCTGCTCGCCTTATTCAGGAAGGAGAGGTAGTCAGACCACTTGACCCTGATTCAGAATCCGAGGCCGAGGTTATAGAGGATCCCTGTGAGGCAGTGCTTGTTGGTCTTGAACATAGTGGCAAGCCGAGAGCGCTTGCTACCGACCCTTGTGCAGACCGCTCATCGGGAGAGAGCGTCCGTCTATTGGAGAGGGATCGAGAGTTGTCAGATGTCAAGGGAAGGCAGAGCGTCCGATTGTGTGATCATCACCGGCAACTGTACACCGCAGCCTGCTCCGGCCGCAAATGCAGCGTGCTGTCCTGCTACGAGCAGATCGCAGGCGCTAAGCAAGGGGTCCCCTTGTGTAAGCACCACCTGCTCGAAATCGGTGCAGGAACAAGGCCGCCTCGAAGGGTGAGCTGGCAAGATGGCAGCATGTCGCCTGATCCAGGCACCCCCAGTGGTGACTTCCGGCATTTCTCAGACAGATCAGGGGACACCCCTAGGCCAGGGGCAAGATCGCCACGGGCGCGCAGCAGCAACGCAAAACCACGGGCTGCTTCAGCCGAACCAAGGCCGTGCAGGCAGCGCCAGGCTGAAGGGAAATTATTCCAAGGGCCTTGCATTGCATTGATCCGACCCAACAGCCTGCAGACCAGCGAATGTGCGCCGAAGTGGCTGTCATTCCTGGGAGAAATCAAAGGGACCGCCCCAGACAGCAGAGCACAGGAACGGATCGAAGTGGTTCTCCCAAGCCTCCAAGCCAAAGGGTCGGTGCTCTCGTCAATGGTGCGTTCCGCACCCATCGATGATGGTGCCGGGAGGATAAGCCGGGCCTGGATTGAGGATTTCTTGACAAGCACCCATGACGAAGCGGCCGGAAGAGGGATCTCCGTGTTGGTCAGTTCCCTCACAGAGGAGCAAGCGACAAGCTTGAATATGTGGGATGGGGAGCTCACTGATGGATCACCGCGTGTAAACCCACAATTGATGAGCAGCATACGGACCAACTTGGCTAGGGAGATTCTCCCCCACGCTGATGCTTACATGGTTGCGGATGAGGCGGCAAGGAAGCTTAGGGAATTTGTCACACCCCCTAGGCCGCACAAAGAACCAGCAGCAGAGGTCTCTTTGCCGGAACTCCCGCCATTTCCATTTCCACTGGGAGAGAGGGGCGAAGACAAGGACGCATTCGAGGCTGCCAAGATGGCACTTCAGGAACACGGCGGCGAAGTCGACGAGGACGTCGTTCACACTGTTGCGTCCGCGTTTGACATTGACCCGAGCCAACTCAAAGCAGCAGTGAGCTTGCAGACAGTACCATCCCAACTCACCGAGCCTCGAAACGCGGTCTCGGTCAGGGGCCCCCCTGGCCTGACGCCTCCGGGCCACCCCCAGCTTTCAGCAAGTGAAGGCAATCATCACCATAAGCTGATCACGCCAATGTGTCACCGCACTGACAACCCTTTGCTGGGAGGCGGAAGCGGTTTAGGTTCAAAAGCTCTCCAGCCTTTTTCCTCAGAGCAAAAAGCCGACTGGTGGCTTAGTCAAGCCTGCAATCGGAGGTCTTTTGGGAGAGGCTCGTGCTGGAGCATCCTTCGGTGAGGCCCTCGGAGAAGGCAGTCAGCTTCAGCACACGGATCGCATCATCCATGCCATTGATGGCTTGCGCAAGGCACAAGATGATGACAAGAACCTCACAAAGGGATCCCTTAGCTCCATCAAAGAGGCTGAGAAAATGGACGTCTTCCTTGCCAGAGGATGCGGGACCTTGTCAATCGAGATCGCTCCGGGGGTCTACGGGAAAGAGTTATTTCATGCTGGCAAGCGGGTTGCCCAGCATGCACGGCACATGCTTCACACCATACGATGGCCTGTGCTGATGACCAACCGACTGCTCCTGGGTGTCTCGGGGTTATGGTGGGGCGGATCAGAACCTTACACGCTGCACGCAAGTGACTGCGTGACTGCTCGATCCGAGCAGTTGGATGGTTGGCATCCTCCATCAGATCATAAAGCCGAGGCGCGAGTCAAACCACCGGGGGTGTTCAACACGTGGCTGCGATACGCCGAAAACTCAGTCCGAGTTTTTGGATCATGCTATGGGACAGAGCATGTCCAAGAGAGACTGGATTGTCTGCAGGCATTGAAAGAGGCACATGAGGAGGACGAACATGCCTTCCCTGCCAAATACTGTATAGAGCTTTTTGAGGAATTGGTGGCCGCCTGGTGCGAAGAGGTGAGAGAAAGCAGACGGAAGCTTTGTTCTCTTCTTGGCACTGAAAACCCTCGGTTGGAAGATCTGAAGCTTTTAGCACTAGCCCCCGGGCCAAATGGCCAAACTAACTTCCAGTTCCCTAGGGTCTGGGACCTGTCAGACCCTGACGGGTATTATCAAACAGTCGTTGTCCCCCGCCAACAGCGGCAGATGTCACGGCTGCTGCACCAGCAGTTGCATGATCACAACCTGAAACTCCGCAAGGCTGCTGGTCCAGCAGAGGGTGACGAGGACGCTCGTACTGGAAAAGCTCCAAAATTGAATCTCAAAGACTCCCCGGACGGAGGGTCGTTGCCATCTACCAAGCCGGACAAGCAGGCCTACCCTGCTGGGAAGCGCCTAACCCAGGCAGAAGCCACCCGCTCCGTTGAACATGCACCGAAGGACAGCAAAACAGGCAAACCAATTTGATGGGATGCAGCCACCCATATGGGATGCCACAAAGGTGGGAAATGCCCGCATGCCCATGAACCGCTCCCTGGGCTGGGTAAGATGGATTACACGGTGGCTATGCAGGTGATCCGCCGAGGAGGCCTCAAAAGCGGGCCGCGAATCGATCCCAGCGAAGTGGATGGCCGGGTAGCACAACTGCGATCTCAAGCCCAATCCGAGCATGATGAAAAGAAGCAGCCAGCCAAGCCCAGAGCAAAAGCAAAGCCCAAAGCCGACGCGAAGGCTGGGAGGTCCGACGGGCCACAAGAGGACAAGGCAGGCCAAGTCGCTTGGAATGTCCCAGAGGATTACGCCGTGCCCCTCACCAAGCTTGAAGAAACTTTGGAAGAAGCAGTCCAAGGGCCCGACGCTTCCTGGCTGGCAATGCCGCCTCAAGAGACCGAAGAAGACCCCTCCCCAGCTCCGCAGGATCAAAATCAGGAGGAACTTGCCCGCATTGAGCGCTGGCAACAGCTTGAACAATCCGGCGCCCTAGCCCCTCTTGAGGGCGCATCCGACCACCTCAAGTCTCATGTCATCGCACGGGTTTTAGGTGCCCAAGATGAGGGACAGACACTCGAGCTTCCCGCTTGCCTCGAGTACGCGGCCGAACAAGGGCATCCTGCTCTAGCTGAGGAAGCCTGCAAATATTTGAGCTTGCTGCACCACACTCCCAAGGCCGGGCATCGGTCCGATGCCGAGTTCACGGCCCCGTCCTGGGCCAATGGAATCGGAGTCGGAAAGCTCGAGCTCGCAGGCGAGTTAGAGGAGTACGGGCCCATCCCTTTCAGGGATTACCAGGACAAGCTCCCTGCCCACCTGACCCGTGTGCCTGTCGAAGCAGGCGGAGATATTGAGGAGCGGCAGTGCCTCCCCCTCCATGTTGGGGTTGGATTGGGCTTGGCCGCTCAGGCTAAAGCTAAGGAGGAGGCTTTGCTTGAGAAAGCGGCGTCGCTTCGACGTGCTTTGTGGGAGGAAGCTGTGCTAGCCCAGTCGCATTTGGGAGATGCCCCTTCCTGGATCACTGAAACTGAGCACTTCTTGCGGCAGAACATCCATGACTGTGTTTACCCGCACCATGAGAAAGATTACCGGGCTCTGCAGACACTTTCGCAAGACCACCTCGATGGTTGCACCCTTGTGATTGTGCGTCTGTCTTATTTCGGACGGCTGGAAGCAGATCTTCTGCATGGGCGCGGTGCCGACCCAGGGAAGCTGGTGTTTGTCACCATCCATCGGGGTCATATGCGGCTTCTGTTGCCCGATCATCCGGAGACCCTTCTTGAGGGTTTTCGTCAACAAGGAAAAATCTCCCGCGTTCTGCATGTTGAACCTTGGCCGGAGGCCCTTGATCGCGCCCGTCTGGAAGACACCCTCGTCCCAGCCAAGCTCCCCACCTGTTCCAGGTGTCAGCAGCAGCAACAACGCCCGTATCGGGTGGGACAACCACTTCCCAAGCCTCCACCGTCTCTGGAAGATCGCTTGCCAGAAGATGATGTCGGGGTGCCACTCCATCATCGCTTGGCCTTTGCATACGGCCCCGTTGGGCAAGAAGTGTCTGTCGGCCGGAGTGGGTGGACTGAAGGCCTCCAGTACCAGGGCATCCCCTGTCTCAATCCCGTCGCATTGCACGAGTGTCTTCATGGCCTTGCCACTGCGCTCCCTGGCCCAGATGTGCCCAACGTCTGGCAATTTGGTCTCGCTTGCCCTTCTTTCAGTACTGAATTTCATAGTGGAACCCGGACCTGGGAGCATCCGCAGGGGGACAGCACTCAGCTGCCTGAAGAGCAGGACAACGATGACATCGCGCTTGTGGCTAGTCTCTGTCAGACACTGCATGACAATGGCCGCCTGTTTTGCCTCGCCAACCGTGCCCCCACCGGTCGTTACCCTACACTTTGGGATTTGCCGTGTGTCCAACACCTTCGAGAAACGACCGGAGCCAAAATCATTCCGATCTCTATGTGTGCCTGGGGGGTTGGCCCACCTGGTGTTTCACCAGGGCATCACTCCTGGTGGCTTGTCTCTCGCGAGCTGTACCCTTGGGCCCTGCTGTTTTTGGCTCGCCCCTGCCATGGGGTCTCTGCGCCTGCCCCCTCGCCCCAAGCCGGTGCCGTATCGCCTTCGCACGTGGCCCAGTGCTATGAACCTACCTTTTGCGCTGCGTGGGGGCTCGTGCTCAAAGCAGCCTTTGAAACTTGGAGCTGGCGGCACTATTTGCGGGAACACAGTGCGTTGAAAGCTTTGGAGCATTGCTTGCATCCCCTTGGCGCTTCGCCGGGGCTTCTTGCCTCTGTGCCACCCACTGCCTCCGCACGTCTATCCGACGCAAAAGAGACGGTTGGGGGACACGGCAGTTCTTCGGAGGGGGAAGGCGGCTTTACAGCTCTCACAACCTATGATCACACCTATGATCACAATTCTTCGGTGCCTACAACCAAGGCCGGTCAGGAGGAAAGCCTCGAAAATTTGGCCACTACCTACTTGAGGAAATGCAAAGAGCCCTTTTCGGAGGAGGTTGCCAAGGCCGCCGCTAGAGCTGGCAATAAACTTCTTTTAGCTGCCGGTTCGGTGGCGGAGGCAGCCAGAAAGCTCAATCAGATTCGGGTTTGGCAGGAGGGAGAACACCTTGACTCGGCAAAGCACCAACGTCTGAAGGGCCTCTCGTCAAATCATGCGGAGTACCTCCGGAGGTGTGTGGTCGAAGGTGTGCCCAGCAGAGCCAGGACGGCCCCCGTCCGAGAGAAAGCAAAGAACCATGGCTCAGTCCGGGGCTATGAACAGGAGCTGCTTCAGAAGGCTTGGAAAGATGCCTCGTACGGGGCGGTCCTGCTGTGCACCACTGAGTCGGGAGACTCTGCCTTGGACACAGCAGTTGAACAGGTACTAGCTCAAGATGGGGTCGCAGAGAGCCCCTTGGGAAGGGTTCCAAAGCAAAACCCCGATCGGACGATTTCAACCGAAGGCCGCCCCATTAATGACATGCGAGCTCGAAATTCTTCTGGGTCAAAATATGACCATCCCCCAGCGGCTCAGCCAAAGCACCGGGCAGTGGTTCGCCAGAGTCTGTGGTGGAGAGCTCGTCACCCTGGAGTGGCCCAGAAATGCGCAAAGCGAGATGTGCCCCGCGCCTTCAAATGGCATTTTCTCAGGCCTGAGGACACCCCGGAGTTCAGCACGAAGTTGTTGGGCATTATCATAATCAGTTTGGTCATGGTCTTTGGATGGGTGGGGGCCCCCGGCGAGTTTGTGATTTGGGCCACTGCCGCTCAGAAGCACCACGGGTCGTTCCGACCCGGAAGTCCAGAATTCAACGATGTTGTGCCATACGCAAGCCGATGGCTTATGGACGACGGGGTAGTGGTCGAACCACTGGTGGGGAATCGCATCCATCGCTCCCTTGCATCAATGGACCGTGCCATGGAAGCTGTATGGGGCCCGGGAGCTATCAACTTGGACAAGCTGGCAGAGGAGGGGATGCCATCCTCCTCCCAGCTTCTGTGGGGTTTGCATTTGGATTTTGATGCGCAGACCGTCACATTGCCTGAGCCCAAGAGAATCAAAGCAAAGTATCTCTTGAGGGAGCCCGAGCTGAGCAGAGGAAACACCCAGGTGCGGGTGAAGCTCCTGCGCGAACTGGCCGGATCTGCGCAATATTGGGCTGTCTCTGCCCCAGAGATATCTCCGTACCTACCTGCATTCTACCGCCTATTGCAGCAGCACCCTGGAGAGCACGTATTTGTCCAGCCACGTGGCAGCACGGAAGAAGTCCAAGAAGCATGGGAAGAACTATGGGACACCCTGGATTGGGTCCGCCTTCAGATGGAAAAGCCTTGGGGTTCTAGCTTCAGAGTTGCATTTGGTAAGTTGCTTCCCATTCGGGAAAGGTTGGCCCTGCCCGGAATGGCCGCTCATGCCCGCTTCGTTGGAGGAGATGCCACGCTGGATAGATTGGGAGCGGTTGACTGGAAGAGCAAGCGCTACCATGTAGCTCCTTGCCGGAAGTATTTGGGGGCTCTTGAAGAGATCGTCCATGCCCAGGATCATTCTGAAATCATCGCGTTACTGGAACTGCTCACCTTTGTGGTACTAGCAGCCTCTCAGAAGGAGGCTTGGGAGGGTCAGATGATCCTGTACGTGACCGACAACACCAACGTGCAGTCATGGTTGAAGTCTCGAAGAGCCCGGAACCGCTATGTCCGAGCACTCCTCCTGCTGCTCCAGCGGGCCGAAGCTGAGCACAGCTTCACTGTAGATGGGGTATATGTCAGGACCTACCACAACACCCTTAATGATTGGCTGACAAGAGGGGATGAAGTAGAGATTGATTGGACCATGCAGAGGCAAGGGTGGACAAAGTTAGACCTGGTGAACAACTGGGAAGCATTACTCAGGGACGCTTTGCGGCCAAGCCTGAAACTCCCAGGCGAGAGTGGGGATACAGCCAGCCTTGCCGTCCAATTAGCCCAGCCATCCAACGTGCCCCAGGCCTTGAGGTTGGAAAGTTCTAAAAGGCCTTTCCGGGGAAAACTGCATCAAGTGAAGTTTCAGCCTTATCTGGCGTGCTTTGAAATTGGCTGGACGAGAGGGGGTGGGAAAGTCTCACGTCTAGAGGAAGCTGACTGGGTTGTTTGCACCCTCAGCAACGATCCCTCTGCCAAAGAAGCAAGCGAGCTCTACAAGCGAATCCAAGGCGTTGGGACTTCCGTGCCTTCGATGATTGTTGATGCGCCCCATACGCTGAGCCAAAAGAGCACGGAGATCCTCACCCGGCTGGGCAGCCTCTACCACAAGCATGGGCATATTACCTGCCAAACAGCACGGTTGGGAAGCTTTTTTGCCCGAAAGAGAATGGTGTGGCTTTTCGGTGATGGCTGGGAAAGGAAAGACCGGCTTCTCCAATGGGCCGTGACAGAGGTCAACGCCTGCTGGAAACTCCCTTTAGAGAGTTTTGACAGGTCGGAGCATCTTCTGACGCCGCCCCGTTTCGTGTTCACCCGAGAACCCAGCATCGTGACGACCGGCGACCCGTGGCTGCCCAGACCCTGCGGGCATATTGTGGATCAAAAAACCGGATTGAAGCATCTGGTGCACAGCGTCAAAGGGGTGGCTTGTGGCCCACGAAACAGCGGGGAACCACTTCGAATCCCTGGTGGCACATTGCTTGAGGATGGGACGGGTCGAGTTCGCCCCCTCGCACCAAACGAGGTCTGGGAGATGCAAGGGGGGGCCGCTTCTGAGTGGAATGTCGCGGGTAAGGATGAACGGGAAATGTTGACCTCCGCGGCAGTCAGGGAATGTGGGTGGCAATTCGCCCAATGCCTGCTCCAGGCGGTGACTGACCCTCTTGTTGACAAGGCTGGAGTTCTTGACCCAGACGAAGTCGAAGCCCACGCTCAGCTCGAAATCTGGCTGAGGGCTTGGGGAAGGAACCCGGCACACCCTGAGAACGAACTTTACCTCACGTCGTGGAAGGAGAAGCCCGCATTGCCCATCCCGACGCATTGCACGGACGTGGAGAAAGCTGGTGCACAAAGACGAGCCTCGAAGAAAAATGGTGTTGAGCCCACTGAAGGGCTGGTCCAGCCAGCCACATGCAGAGACCCCAAGGATCGTTCAGCTACACTGATCAAACAGGGGACCGCTGCGCTCGATCAAATCGGAACCGAAGCCATCATGGCAAAGCTTGCTGACTCCACCAAGCGCGTCTACGCAACTGGTTGGAAGCAGTGGGCTATTTTCAACACCGGAGCTCAATGCCCCCTTTTCCTTGATGGAGAAGGGCGATCCGCCCGAGCTGAAGACGAGCAAAGGCTAATCCGGTTTGTAGTTTTCCTTCACCAGATTCTAGGGAAGTCTATTGGAGGAATAAGACAACGTTTGTCGGCAATCCGGTATGCCCACATTGTTGCCGGTTTCCCCGACCCCCTTGTAGGAAGACCCAGGCTCTGGGCAGCCGTTGCGGGTCTGCAGCGATGGGAGGGTTCCCCTCTGAGAAAACTTCCTGTAACCCCGAGTATGCTTCGCTGGTTAGTTCGATACTTAAAGGGAACAGGGTTTTCAATTACCGACCAAATGATGGTAAGGGGGGCTCTTTTGACGGGGTGGTTTTTTATGCTTCGGGCCAGCGAACTTCTCCCCCAAAGTGACGGGTCTGACCCCATCAACAGGGCACTTCGACCTGCTGATATCACCTTTTATAAAGATGGGAAAGCATGTCACGGGATTCATGCAAACGAGGTAGTAGTGCAAATTAGATCCTCCAAGACTGACCAGTATGGTCGGGGACAAACAAGATCCCACCACCGGTCCGGGGGTGACCTGTGTCCTGTTGAGGCTCTGGCGGCCATGCAAGCTCTTCAACCTCATCGTTGGAGAAGCCCGCAAGACGAGGCGCCTCTCTTCAGATATCAGGATGGGCGTGGTTTGGACCGGGAGGGGATCACCCACTTCATTCGTGTGGCAGCATTAGCCGCTGGGTTTCCAGCAGAATTAGCGGGCTCTCACTCTTTGAGAAAAGGGGGTGCAACGGCTTTTTTTGCTACAACTGGAGACTTAGAAAGGTTAAAAAGGTATGGTGGATGGTCGTCAGACGCAGTGCATGCCTACTTATATGAGGATCATGTTGCCCAGCAAGGTATAGCATCCGGCATGTTAAAATCACAGGTTATCACCATGCCCAAACAAGCTTGCTCCACTTTCATGGGGGTTCCCTCCAGCCATGAAGGTGTCATTCAGGCAGGTCAGGTTGCCAATGCATATCCTGTGTTTTGCGGCACACGTCCTCATGGTGAGCTTGGTGATGCGGCTAGCTCGTCTCAGGCTCGAGCTTTTTCATGGGCGCCAGACCGGCGGGTTTCTTTTGGGACTATGGCTGGCGCTGATGCGGCCCCTCTTGACCGCCTGAACGCAACGAATGCGTTCCTGGCAAACAACCCAGGGCTCGACCTCTATGCTTTGCTGGGTGTTCCACCCAATGCGCCCCAGCAGCAAATTCTTACGGCCTACAGAAAGAAAGCTCGTGAGCTGCACCCCGATAAATGGTCGAGGTCCACAGAGTCCCTCCGGGCTCAAAAGGCTGAAGAATTTAAGAACCTCAGTGCTGCCAAAGAGATTTTGGTGGATCCTTTAATGTCGTTTCACTACCAGAGATGGCTGGCTCATCGAAGCCAAAGGGCAAGGCAAGGGGCCGGTCCGGCCTGGAGTGAGGCGCCAAGAGCTGGGTACTACGCCCAATACGCCAGCACAGCAAGCACACAGCCTCCCCATCAGAGCTCCGCACGACCTCGGAAGCCACCCCCGCCCCCTCAGCCTGCTCAGCCAAGCTCCGCGCGACCTCGGAAGGCACCCCCGCCTCCTCAACCAGCGAAACCCCGCAAAGCACCTCCAGCCCGCCCACACGCGAACGAGGCAACAGCTGCTGAATTTGTGGGAGGTGCTCCACCTCCGCCCAAAGATGGTCCACCTCAGCCTAGGGCTCCCCCCCCAGCACCAAGCGCATCCAACCGCCCCCCCGCAGCCACCCGGAGGATGACAAGACATCCCCAGCCCTATGAAGGACGAGGTGGGTGGGAGGATTTACGGTTGCCCAAATCGGCTCTTGGAGAGGAATCGCAAGCAGACGTTGACATGGCCAGGTCTTGGGAAAGGCCAGATGTAGATATGCATGATGTTCTGTGGCAATCCTGGGAGCAACCCAGTGAGGCCAAGTGGGAAGCTGCCCAAGATCCTCAAGATGATGAGTTTGTGTATGTCGAAGTGGATGACAGCGCTTCTGAGATGTCTTGGAGGACTTGGGACTCCGACAACCTATGGGATGAGCCGGCTTGGGGAGACGTTCCCCATGAGAGAAGCGCCGCTGGTGCAGAGGATCCAGAAGCGTTAGACAAGGCTGCGCAGCTCGTGGCTTTGGAGTTCCTCGCTCTTTTCAACAAAGTGGCGAAAAAGCAGAAGACTTTGGGTGCCCCTCCAACAATGGAATTGCCAGAGGCGCTCCGCCAGCAGTATTTGTCAACCCCAAATTTGGGGTACGGGGTCCCTTCCGCAGTGAGCCAGTACATCAGCAGCCAAGGCCACTTGCAGAAACCACCCCCGGCTTCCAAAGGCTTGCCGCACATGGCAATGGGTGTTCCACCCAAAGGGGCGCCGCAGATCTTCGCCCCTCCTCCAAAGAAACCGCCCCCACCAGTGCCGCCAGAGAAAGGTAGCAGCGAGGAGACTGCTTCAGCGAAGTCAAAGCTTGCTCCAGTGGGAGCAGCTTCCGATTTTTCCACAACCCCTTTTTTTGAGGAGAGTGAGGTGGACTGGGGGGGCGACGAAGATGAGCGCACGGAGGCCGAGAAAAGGGAGGACGCGGAGATCCTCCGGAAGACCAAGGAGAGCATGGAGGCATTTCTCAAAGCGCCTCCTGCACTCAAGCAGCAGCTCAGGACCAATGCCTGCAAACAATGCTGCGAAAGGCTCCGGGCGCTCCGCCTGGGATTGGAGGTTCGGGACGTCAAACCACATGAGGGCAAGTATGAGGCGGATTTGGCTGCTGGGTTTTCAGTGGCGGAAGCCCGCTACCTCCACAAACAAAGGGAGCGTGCGGCAAGGCACCAAGACCATCTTTCAAGGATGCCTGGCGTTTCGCTAGAAGATCTCCCCAAATCCTGGCAGTCAGAGCAGGGGCCAGAAAGGACCCTGAAGCCTGGGTTCTTGAAAGAGAGAGAGGAGAAGAAGTCCCGCCGCAGACGGGAGAAGTGGCTGGCAAGAAAACATGAAGAGTGGCGATCCGCCGGAAGTCGGAGATGGGCTCAACCCACGACTCCTGAGAAAGCTGCTCCATCCACTCCACCGGATCAGCAGAGCTGGGACGATGATTCCTGGGGAAAATGGGGCCAGGTGCAAGCACCACCGACTCAAGGGCACAGCTGGCGTGAGAATTCTTGGCAGGAGCACCGAAGCCAATGGAACTACGGCTGGTCCGACTCGCACTACCAGGGCTGGTCCAGCCGATAGATTCTCTACAGAGATGAGAGTTGATCCAGCTGAAGTATGCTTGAGAGCCGGGCTTTTTCTTTTCGACTTTCACCAGCCCTTGTGTTCACGCACGTCGCTGCAACACAGGCTGTCCAAAAGAAGCTGCCGCATTGAATTTCTTTACCTGGGGGGAATGCCAGGCGAAGCCTTGTCACATTTGTAAAACCTCCTGTAAAGGGTAGTGGGATGCCTGAACAAACTTGGCGGCATCTCACGACAAAAAATATAGAAGTTGTGCGTGCAGACTTCGTGTTTTGATAGTTGCCATGTTGCTAGCTAACTCGTGTATTCGGTAGAATGTAGGGTTAGTTAGTGTTGGCTGCTGGATCTTGTTGCTCAAGATTTTGCAGCCCCCATCTCAGGCCCTCCCACGCCGCCCGGGGGAATGCCAGGCGAAGCCTTGGCACATTTGTAAAACCTCCTGTAAAGGGTAGTGGGATGCCTGAACAAACTTGGCGGCATCTCACGACAAAAAATATAGAAGTTGTGCGTGCAGACTTCGTGTTTTGATAGTTGCCATGTTGCTAGCTAACTGTAATGTAATGTGATGTAATGTAATGTGATGTGATGTGATGTACTGTAATGGAATGTAATTTAATGTATGTAATGTAATGTATGTATGCAAGAATGTATTAATGTATTGTAATCTGATGTAATGCAATTTAATGTATGTATGTATGTAATGTAATGTAATGTAATGTAACGCAATGTAATGTAAGGTAACGCAATGTAATGTAATGTAACGCAATGTAATGTAATGTAACGTAATGTAATTTACGTAATATTGTTTGGTTTTTGTTTTGCTTTGCTATGTTTTGTTATGCTTTGCTATGTTATGTTTTGTGTTGCTTTTTTATTTCATGCTGTGCTTTGTTTGCTATGCATTGTTTTGCTTTGTGTTATGTAATGTTTTGTTATGTTTTGTTATGTTTTGCTTTCTGTCTTACGTTATTCGATGTTATGCTTTGTTATGTTTTGCTATGCTATGTTTTTGTTTTGTATGGATGGATGTATGTATGGTATATGTTATGTATTTAAAGCAATTATGTTTGGTACGCATGGTATGTCTGATATGTGTGGTACGTATGGTACGTATGGTAGGTATGGTATGTATGGTATGTACGGTATGCATGGTATGGACGTATGTGTTGACGGTATGGATGGTATGGGTGGTATGTATGCATGCGTGCATGTATACATGCATGCATGTATGTATGTTTGTACGTACAGATGTAATGTATATATGCATGCATGTATAGGCTGTCTGTTTGTTTGTATGTATGCATGCGCGTAATGAATGCAATGTAATGTATGTAATGAATGTAATGTATGTAACCTATATAATGTTTGTAATGTATGTATTTTATGTATGTATTTTATGTATGTATGTATGTAATGTATGTAATGTTCAGATGTAATGCAATGGTATGGAATGTAATGTAATGTAGTGTAATGTAATGTAACGTAAAGAAATGTAATGTTCTGTATGTATGTCTGTATTTAATGTATGTACTGTATGTAATGTATGTAATGTAGTCAATGTATGTATGTATGTATCTATGTATGTATGTATATATGTATGTAATGTAGTCTAGTGTAGTGCAGTGTAGTGTTGTGTAATGTATGTAATGTATGTAATGCATGTAATGTATGTAATGTATGTAGTGTATGCAGTGTATGTAATGTATGTAATGAATGTAATGTTATGTGATTTATGTAATGTTATGGAATGTTATGTTTTCATGTTTGTTTTAATGTATGTTCTAATGCATGTTTTGATGTATGTATGTATGTATGTATGCATGCATGTATGTATGTATGTATGTATTAATGTACAGTAATTTAATGTAATGTGATGTAATGTAATGTAGTGTGATGTGATGTAATGTAATGTATTGTGATGTGATGTAATGTAATGTAATGTTTGATATGTAATGTATGTAGGTATGTAAGTAATGTAATGTAATGTAACGCAATGCAATGTAATGTAATGTCAATGCAATGTAATGTAATGTAATGTTTTGTATGTATGTATGTATGCTTTTTATGAATGTAATGTGATGTAATGTAACGTCATGTAATGTAATGCAATGCAATGTAATGTAATGTAATGTATTTCATATAATGTAATCTTTGTTTGTATGTACTAATTTAATGTATTGCAATGTAATGTGATGTAATGTAATGTGATGTAATGTAATGCAATGCAATGTAATGCAATGTAATACAATACAATGTAATGTAATGTAATGTTTTGTATGTAATGGTTGTACGTATGTATGTATTTATGTAATGTAATGTAATGTAATGTGATGTAATGTGATGTAATGTGATGTAATGTGATGTAATGTGATGTAATGTAATGTGATGTAATGTGATGTAATGTGATGTAATGTGATGTAATGTAAGTATGTATGTAAGTAAGTATGTATGTACGTATGTATGTCTGTGTGTGTATGTATGTATGGATGTATGTGTGCATGTATGTATGTATGTCTGTATGTATGTGTGTATGTATGTATGTATGTATGTGTGTTTTTATGTATGTAATGTAAATTCATGTAATGTAACCTAATGTAATGTGATGTAATGTAATGGAATGTAATGTAATGTATGTCATCTATGCATGTATGTATGTATGTATATATGCATGCATGCATGCATGCATGGATGTATGTATGTATGTATGTATGTATGTATGTATGTAATGTATGTAATGTAGGTAATGTATGTAATGTATGTAATGCATGTAATGCATGTAATGTATGTAATGTATGTAATGTATGTAATGTATGTAATGTATGTAATGTATGTATGTATGTATGTATGTATGTATGTATTAATGTAATTTAATTTAATGTAATGTAATGTAATGTAATGTAATGTAATGTAATGTATGTAATGTAATGTAATGTAATGTGATGTGATGTGATGTGATGTGATGTAATGTATGTAATGTATGTAATGTATGTAATGTAATGTAATGTAATGTCATGTAATGTCATGTATGTATGTATGTCTGTCTATATGTATGTATGTATGTATGTATGTCTGTCTATATGTATGTATGTATGTATGTATGTATGTATGTATGTATGTATGTATGTACATATGTATGTATGTATGTATGTCTGTATGTATGTGTGTATGTATGTATGTATGTATGTATGTATGTGTGTTTTTATGTATGTAATGTAAATTCATGTAATGTAACCTAATGTAATGTGATGTAATGTAATGGAATGTAATGTAATGTATGTCATCTATGCATGTATGTATGTATGTCTGTATGTCTGTATGTCTGTATGTCTGTATGTTTGTATGTATGTATGTATGTATGTATGTGCAAACACTGTGACCGCTATGCGGGCATCCCTTATGTATGCATACTTAATATGTTGATAGTGCATTGGTCATGGTGATGAGTTCCTCAGATTTGGCTAGAGCGATCGTCCCTTCGAACTGGCATCCTTTCACCAGAAACAGCCGCCAGCCCTACTTTTTTTTTGCAGTAATTCAATGTACAATCCAATTGAACTGCCAACCCCGAAGTGGTAGCTTAATGTAGCTTAAGCAGCCTTGAACCAAAAAAACATCATTGAACATCGCTAGGAAACACAAGTGTCAAAAAGAAACCACCTAAATTCGAAGAAATTCACCACCAAAAATCATCCCACTTCCCCCAAATCCATCTCCCGCGTTGAGATAAGGACCTACTACAGCGACGAACAGTCGCATCTCCTTCTGACCATCGCGGCCTCGGGTGACGCAGCGCACGAGGCAGCTCAGCTGGGTCGAAACGTCAGCGAGATCGGCTGCTTGGCCCGAAGGGCAGAAGCGTTTAAACGGAGGGCCAGCCGATAAAAGAGGTGAACCACAAGAAATGTGGAGGTTTAATCATGTTAAACCCAGCAACATCAAAGTTTCATATGGTTTAATTAATTGTTAGTATATGTTACTATTCTAATTTTATCATGTTATGTTTGGATAATTTGAGCAATACACAGATGATACATGAAAGATTGGAATTTGACAATGAAGGCTTGGGGAACGTTTCGGGTGAGATCTGTGGAAACCTGCGTTGTTGGGATATCAAAACCCCCGCAGCAAAAGATTAGAGTTTGGCAGTGAATCCCAGATTGGCCATGGGGTCTAGGCCTTTTGGCTAAATCTGAAACAGTAGTCCAAAACCATCACAAAGTGTGGGGTTAAACGGAGAGGATCAATCAAACATGTGGAGTTGAACATGAATGAAACATCCAAAAATGAGAGCCTTTTTGCATCCAAAACGGTGTTTTTGAAGCATCAAACATCATCAAACCGGGAGGCTGAAGCATCGGACATAGGAAGGGTATGGAAGAGTTGGTGAAATGGTGGCATGGGGGTGTTAACGGGCCGGTTGAAGAGACAATCCACAGAAAAAAAAAACCTACATGGATTCATGTGTTTTCCGTGTTTCTAATTGCAACCACTTATGGGGTTCTGGACATAAACCCTGGTAAAGTTAGTAGTGAGTAGTTGTTGCACTTTCCATATATTTCAATCAAATTGTGAATATTGTGTTTTGTTTTTTGGTGGTTGTTTGAATGTGAAAAGTCATCCGGCTGTACCCGGCTTGCCTTTCATCGTTTACCAAAGGGTACATCCGGTGATAGGACCCTGCTCCCAGTTCCAAAATGGTGCTATATATGTTTACTCTTCGGGAATCAAACATGGCAATGGACAAGCCCCATTTGTGGATGATTTTCCCACGTAAATGCCTATTTAGTTCGGGGACGACTTCCCAGCTAGCCATGTTTGATTACAGGAGGGTATATGTGTAAATAGCACATTTCTTGTTCCAGTTAAAGGTGGTCATAAATTTTGTACCCCTCTTAAAGAGGGCAAAACCCTATCACGGTACACAGTTTTACTTCATTTAAGATCCAAAACATGAGATATTTGAGCTGCCCCGGTTTCAAACCTGGTTCTGAGGGGTTTATCATTGCACCTCACCAGATGATGCATATTTCCCAAGTCTTGGAGGAGCCAAACTTGGCTCGTGGCTCAGCTTGGGCTCAGGTAAGTCGTTATCACATGCTATGAGCATCGCGACGAGCATGTTCCTGGATCCCACATGTTCCGAGCCTCAATTGACGGACTTGGAATGGTTCCAAGCCCTCACCAATGCAGAGGAGCGATGGGGATGGTACTGAAAATAGAAAAAGACACATGGATAAACAGGGTCATGAAGGGCACAAGAAGAACTTGGATAGAAATGGAATCTCCATATTTTTTTGCCATCTCTGGCTGGGATATGCTGGGATGATATGTTGGCCGAGTGCCTAAGGTTCGCCATTTCCCCCAACTGCCACCGTTGGCAGGATCAATTGCTACAGGCGTCCAAGGCCACCACACTATTCCTTCAGCGAATCGCTGGCAGACCATCGGAACTTGGGGGGTGCAACCATGAAAAAGGGTGGAAACTATGGAGAACATGAACATGGGGCTTCGGCTTAGATCATCAAACATATGGGATTTGAGTTAACGGTCAAGAAAGTAGATTTCACCTAGAAGATTCAGAGTTTCATGGATGACTATCTAATAGTAAACCGCCAAAATATAGCCTTGGCATTCGGGTACCATCCAAAAAAACAACATTTCTGGTTTTGGACATGGGAATGGGTCAAAACCTTCTTTGATACCTCATGTAGCAGGGAATGAACATCCAATTGCCTGCTATTTTGGCGTTTTTAGCGGGATTCCAGGGGCTTAAACCATACCAGCATGGTGCGCTTTGCCCAGATAGACACTGTGTTTCGTCCCCCTATCAAGAGGCCCCGGTGGTGGGAGCTATGCAGCGCTGTGTGTGGAGGTTCAAACACAACAAGGAGATTTCCGCCAGAAGTAGCCTGCAATGCCTTCACAATTTCCCCAGTTAAGTAGCTGCATTGGTTGTTCAATACCAATCGGATTCCATTTTTGGCAACCGTGATTTCGACTGAACTGTTCAACCCCTACACCCTCTGCGGGTACACCTCTAAGGATTGCCTCAAATTACAACGTTGCTGAAAGCTCCTGGGCTTGATGCGGTTGTTTCCATGTAATCTTGATGCAGATGTGATATACAGCCTTTCAGATACTATGGAAAGCCACTTTTTTGAATAGATTGAATAGACAATTTTTGGAAGCTATGTTGGATTACCAGAGAGCGCATCCCAACTACTGTAGTAGGCGGTTGAATGTGGTTGGTAATTTAAGTAATACCCCATCTATGATTGTGGTATATCATGGTATATCCTACATATAGCTGGGTGGTTGCAAAAGGCTTATTACCGACTTACGATTCCACAAGAGGATGCACATCCAAGTTGAGGGGGCTGAATTGTCCGAACTTCTCTATGGTTTTGCCAGGTAAAGTTCAGCTGACCCTGCTGGCGGATGACGCCACATTGAGCTTGAGACACCTCTTGGAGGGAAGCAAGGCGCAACGTGAAGATTTCCTCAGGAATGGTCCAAACCTAGTGATTTAACTAGCTGATCTGAGTGCTGGTTTGAAACATGTTTCGTTTGACGTTTTTTGCAACCAATTTTGGAATGATGATCCCAAATGATCAATACTTTTGCATGGGTTGAAACCACCAAGTTGCGTACCGTACTGTATACATGTGTATACCGTATACCAGATTACGGGACACCACAAATTTCACAGCGCCTCCCAAGATTCGTTTCTTTGGTAGGCAAGTTGATTGGCAGGGGCACTATTTCTCGCAATTGCACAGAATCCAAATTTGAAAACCGAACTAGCTGCCAGCAGCTACCCTTTGGCACATGGGGGAAGCATTGAGTATCGTGATATTTGATCTATTTCAGGATTTACGAATGTATTTGACGACACGCAAGCATTTTGGCAAATCTAATAGAGCAACTACTCCCAACCTGCAAAATTAACTTGTGTATATAACTGGAATGTAAAATTTGGTGATGTTTTGTGGTTTCAATTCAACTAGTTCTGCTTTGCTGTCTTGATGGTGATCTCGTTTGACGTTTTTTGGTTGGAGCTGAAGGTGCATCCCCTTTCGCCTCTTCCCTACCCCCGGCTCCCCACCCCCATCCAATCATGTTTAGCACAGGGGGTATGTATCGGTATGTCCCTAGTTTTGTTGGTTAAATCTCCATACACTATCCCCATGTCTTGTTGCTTATAATCCTGGATTTGCCGAAGATAATGCTATATTTTCCCTACCGAAAAGCTACTTGGGGAGTCTATAGTTAATATGTGCTTATTGTTTTGGATGGTTCCAGACCAGAAAATCCAAGTATAAAGATTACTAGCCTATCTAATTTATTGGTCATATCCCCATTCTACGTGCCACTGTAAATACCATTGTACAACACTATTAATACATAACTAACTGTTGATTGGTTGGGAAAGCCCTGTTGTTTAAGCCGTTGGGCAGGCTACAGGCCTGGTATCTCCGCCCACTCAAGAGTTGGTCGATCAGATTATTGCTGTGAAGGGCGTCTGGCAGAGCATGAGGGCGGAATTCACCAAGGTGCAGCAAATGCTGGGAGTTTTTGTTGGGGATTTTATGATGGGATGTTTTTTGGGGGTCTTATGGGACTTTGACTGGAATTTATACATATTTTTACAAGTTAATGTGATTTTTAATGGGGGCTTAAAGAATTTTTTTGGGATGCAACCAGCCAAACATGTGATTTGCTGAATTTGATCATGACCTCACGACTTGTCACTGGAATGATGGTGTGGGTGGGATCGTCCCCCGACTTTGCCACCTGAGGCAATCTTTGAAACCAGCGTTTCAATCTCGAGCGTTAGCGAAGTCGCGCGCTTGACGAAGCTCTTCACGGACACCCGCCGGATTTGCCGAGGATTTGGCCGGATTTTTTCCAAGGGGAAGACAATAGGGCCCAATAGTGTTCATGTTTTTTCCTCCTAGGGTTCCTTAGCAAACCATCCTACTTTTGATCCAGACCCAGCTATTGTACATGTCATGCCTGCTCACAAGTAAAGGGGCCAGAGAGAGGGGCTGAACGGGGATACCATCAATCCAAATCTACATGATTCCATGTTTACAGATGCGAAAGCACTATTTTTAAGCATTCTGGTTGTTTCAAATGCTCATCCTACCTGAAATGATGACCCTTGGTGGCTTGATGGGCCCAGCTGTCGCAGTACTGGACCCTGATTTCCCGAAAATGCCCTGAAGGACAGGTGGTTTTCTAGTCAAATGGCAGTGTAATCCTTATAAATCCGCTGAACCATCAATTTACTGTATAAATTATGTTATGTGTGTATATACCTCCTTCTCTCAAAGTATAAATGCGCATTTTCCATCCTTATGTACTTGCCAAGTATAGTCAAATAGGTTTACACACCTATAATAGGACCTATAATATTCGTCTAAGTCCTCGTCAAAAGATGGCCCTGTCACCATCCGTCATCACCCCACCTTATGTTCGTGCTCAGGACGGCATTTCGGAGGCCGTCAGTCTCTACGTGCGAACGGCCATCAGCGCAGGAACCAGCATCCCCGCCTATACTGTTCACCTGGCCAGTAGACAGAGGCCATGGATCGAGATGTCGAGATCGAAGGGTTCTGCTTCCGGTTGAAGGCAGTGAAAGATTTCAAGAGATTTAAGATGATTTAAGCACTTAAAATTGACTGAAATGGTGAGTATTAGGTTTAGGGTAGTGAAATGAATGTCTTGAAATGGGGGGGAATTCATCAAACATGATGGGCATAAAAGAAACCATAAAGCAACCATTGCATGGGGGGAGTTTTCACCAACGAAATTAATTAATTAATTGATTAATTAATTAAATAGTTAATTAATTAGTTGCCTGCTTTTTCTGTGGAAATTATGTCGCGACCTCAATGGGCCCGCCTCCACCTTGAGGAGGACAACCCCTAACCAAAATAAGAGTAGAACCGACACATCTCATTATGCAAGCAACAATAGTGAGGATATGATATGACCGGGACCAGTCACTCGTTTTTTTTGGGATATCCCCAATGGGAGCCACCGGGACTGGGATCATTGTGCAGACATTGTTTCACCTTAGGTTTATATACGATACATATTGCCAGAAATTTAATTTACCAGCTTTGCTGCTTAAGTAATGTAGTTACAGCCGTATTTTGGCTGGTGAAATCATCTAAGCTCCTTATGTTTGATTGTTAATCATGGTTAATCAACTTGAATGGCCATGTTTTCTCATTAAACAAGTTTAAATCGTCTTGAAAACCTCACTGTTGCTTGAATCATCTTGAAAGCCCAGTTCAAAACATTTTTGTTGTTTAAATCATCTTGAAAACCCAGTTGTTATTGGCTCAGCCCTCTTAAATTATAATTTGTGCATATTTGTGCCGGTAAAATCATCTCCAAAAAATACTGGTTTTACCGGCTATACAAATCATTTTAACACACCGTGTTTCTTGCTTAAGTAATCTTAAAACATCACTGTTGCTGGTTAAATCCTCCTAGGTCCCTGTTGCTGCTAGTTCAATCATCTGAAATCCAGAGTTGGGACTTATTTTGGTTGGTGACCATTTTTTGTTGGCGACAAAATCTTAAATCCAGTTTTTGCTGGTTAAATCCGCTTAAAAAGACTCAGTTTTAATCGCTGATTTTTCTGTTTAGATCATCTTACTTCCAAGGTCTTCTTGGTTAAATCATCTCAAATCCAATTTTGTGTTGGCTAAAGCATCTTAAATCGCATGTTTCTCGATATATATATATAAGAAACCATGTGAAATCCCAATGTTTGTTGGTCCAATCATCTTTTTTCTCGATTAGATCATCTTAAATCCGACCGTGCCTGGTGCCTGGTTGGCTTCAACGTGGGGAGGACAAAGGCGCAGAATTTGGTCAAGAAGGTGCGATGGGTTTGTCTCCGTGAAGCCATCAATTCATCAATGCCATGCATCCATCAATCCATCAGTAAATCAATACACCAACCCATCAGTAGTTCATCAATATTTCATCCAGTAGTTTAAAAAAACAACAACCAATCAATGATAATGATTGGTGTGCTTAATGATTTTTGCTGACTAATAGAATGGGAAGAAAACAACTACAGTGCCATAGATATGGTGTGTACATGTTTGGATATATTGCTGGGAATGGTGCAACCAATTTGTGTGGATGCCAATCTCAACAACCATCGTGTCGGGGGCAAGCACCATCCGGGAATCAAGCATGGCCATGGAAAATCCCATGGAAAAATGAATGTTTTAATGGGCAAATTAACAATAAATGGATGTTCAATTGCCATGCTTGATTACCGAAGGGTATCCCAAAATAACCGAACTCTTCAGCTTAGTGATTTCTTATATATCTATCCAGACGCGGTTTCAGAATTTGGTTGATATGGGTTTAAGATCCCTAGGTTTATCAATGCCATGTAGTTGTTAAAAGGTGTGAGAATTGCGGTAGTAGTCTCTTAGAAAATCCTGGGCGTAGAAGTTATACTGGCTACTGGACTTAGACATGTATCCCAAATTAACCAAGATTACCCTCTGGTAAACATACAAAAAACTATGGAAAAAAACACATTTTAATGGGAAAAAAACACATTTTTAATGGGTAAATCCACTATAAATGGACATGTTCAATAGCTATGTTAGTTTACCAGAGGGTATTTACTGCAACATGCTGACAAATCATATATTGAACATGTTGCCTGAAGCCAAGCCAACTAGTTGAGCAAATAAGTAAGCAAGAGTAAAGATCTTACTGGTTCTTAGTAAGGAATGGGGAATGATCGACAACTATGATTGACAACCATCCCATTCCCCCATTCTCACAACGCTGCACCAGTCTGGAGCCCAAAAGGGGGGACAAAACCCATCATAGTCATATCCCCTTTGTTGTTACACGCTTTTTGGTTTAAATATCTATGATAACTTTTTTAAAACTTGTATTTGGGGTGCATCTCTCATGTTGTATAACTATTTGTGTCAGGCGATCATGGTGAACTTGGGCTACAGCGTTCAAGAAAACTGGGCGGCTTTCAACGCCACGAATGACTTGCTGATGGAAACTCATTGGACGTTGCTGGAGGGCGCTGCAGCGAAGACACCGTATCCTGCTGTGAATGCTGCCCGGCCGGGGTCCGCTGTGGTCCGCTGTGGTCTGTTGTGGTCCGTTGTGGTTTGTTGTGGTTCGGGGTTTTGGAGCCAAAAGGCCAAAAGGCCCTAGATCAAACGAATCGTGGGGTTGGTGTGAGATGTGTACCCTCGGATAGCTTGACATAGCCATGAAAAATCACCAGATTTGAGAGGTAAATCATCGAAGCAAATTGGCGATTCTCCAAAGTGTGTGAAGTTGCTGGATGGTGTATCTGGAGCAAATTCATGTTTCAAGACTTGTGTTCTTTGTGACATGGGCTGCCAAGACTTGATCTGGGTAAACCTGGGTTTGGTAGGTATATGGGCCAATTGTCTGCCATGATCTCTCATAAATGTTATGGCTATTCTGTCCTGGTACTTGTATAAGTTTACCACAAGAATTGGGTAATTTGATGGAAGATAAACTCATTGGATATATCTACCCAAATTATCCCAAATTGTATGTCCCAAAATTCTACCCAAGTATCCCAGACTGATTGGTTATCTCTACTAAAGCCATGATTGCTGCATCCTCACATCCTTTTTTAGCCAAGGCTACAACTGACCTTTGCATCATCCAGCAGATGTGGACCGCCCTTGGCGTTTACGCTCCTCAGCCCAAACCGTTTGCATTTGTATTGAATTGTTGCAGCAAGTTGCAGCAAAACAAACCATCTTTTTTTGATTCGGGGAATCATCCCCAAGTGGATTTCAGCTTTGTGAATTGGCAAATTTTATCCATATATTTATCCAGATCTTGGGAAAAAGCAAGGATCCAACCTCCGAACATATGGATTTCGCGCCACAGGATCAGCTACAAGCGGCCGCTGATAGGGTGCTGAGAGGCGAAAAGTCTTTAGCAAACATAGCGATTTACGCGGAGCGGTTCGATGTAGAGACACTCGGGCCTAGTGATGATCCCAGGGGTCGACAAATTCTGGTGTGTGCCGAGTAAACCATCCATGGAAAATTGAAAACTATGTATATTTTCACCCGGTGATATGGGGTTGAAGATGTGGAAGGTTAAAAAAGCTTCTGATATATGGTTCGTTGTTGGTGGGTACGTGAAGGTGTTGGTAACATTTACTAGGGGATAGCTGAATTCGTGTTTTCATGCATCATGCTGGAGCCGTTTTTAGGTTGCCAAGTGCGTTGCTCAGCAGTGCAGGGTTAGTTTTCAAGTCTGGAGGTTCAAAGCTTTCTGAGCGACAAAAATTAAGTAAGCATGAAATTCATCTCTCCCTCCACATATGCAGAAGGTTGCAAGTGCATTGTGATTGTGTTGGCCGCCTACATCTATATTTCACTTGGCTTTCCGAGATGTTTTCCGAGCCACAGGTGACCAGGGTGAGGTCAGCCCCGAAGCGTGTGGACTAAGGATGGGTGTGGCAGTTGAATGGTACAAAAGCCCAGGTTCGGCCACCTGTGACAACTTCGTCCCAACGTTGGATCAGTGGAAGGGATGCTTGGGCGAAAAGGAAGGGCCGACGGAGCATGAAGTCAACCCATGAGTTGGGAATCCCCATCTACCAACCATCATAATCATCATATACAAGGGATGTTCTGATGCGTTTTTGACACTGCTCATGTTGCAATATGTTTCAAATGTTTTTAGACATGGGAGATGCTGCGAAAGATATTCAAATGCCTGCTGCACATGAGGACGGAAGTGCCCATGGATTCGATGTCCAGATGGCAACATAGATATTGTTGTGTTTATACTAATTGCATCATATGCGTACAATCTTTTCGTTCATGCAGCTGCCAAAGCCACTCCCATGGGAAACCCTAAACAATGCTTCGATCTGAGAAAATAATCCCGGCCCCCATTCATATTAAACACCTTGATTTTATGTGCCCATTATGTGCTTTCATCCCTGACTTTCCACCATGGTTTCTCGGGGGTGACATGATTCACCTGGCTCCGGGATGATTTCCAGGCTTCGTCTGATTCACCGCAACCAAGGATTGATCCTCGAAGTGGCTCGGATCCGCAGTTTGAGTCAAGAACTCTCCAGTGCCTACCTGCTAGTGGAGCTCAATATGTCGACCCCTGAAGCTCTGTTGGAAGGTGGGGGTAAAGGATCAAGAGAACGTGTTGTCAAAAACGGTTCAGGATCCCTGAAGATGAAATACTACCGTGGAAACCCTGGTTTAGTAGTGGATGATTTCATTGTGTGGGGCTTTATTGACAACTTACTGGGGGTTTTTGTATAATACCATGAAGATGGGATGTTCGTGATTCCACATGCAACCAGAAGTGCTATGGCCGATGTTTTGACATTTGCCAGGGTTTGAGGAGGAAGTAATGCTTGGGGAAAGCTTGTCACGATTTCAGACAGAAGATAAATAGATGAATGAACATATACCCAAGGCTTATATTCTTGGTTTCTAAGATTTGCTGTAGGATGCTTGTAAGGATTTGGATAGCAGCTGAAAAGGAGATGCCATGAGCTCTTGCAGATCATGCCCGAAACAGATGTTGTGTATGCCTACGTCTTGGCCGTTTGTTGGGGTACCCTCTGGTAATCAAACTTGGCTGGCTGGGACATCCACCATAAATGGGGGATTAAATGGGAAAATCCTCCATGCAGGGCAATTTTCGATTGCCACGTTTGATTGCCGGAGGGTGAATGTGTAGGTCAACATGCCATATGTTTGGTGTATGAACTTATGACAACTTATAACATATGTTTTTTCAAGTTTCTTTGGGATGCCTAGAATGGAAGGTGCGCAAAACCATGACGTCGACCTTAAACATGGTAAGTAAGTACATGAAAGTGCCTCCAGCTGTTTTTTCTGTATCACTGTATCACCAAAGATGACAGTCTACAACAACCCGTGCGATACTCCATGGAATTGCAATTTTGAAGGGCAAGATAGGTTTTTAATCCATTGGGTTTTGGAGTAAGCCCCATGTGTAGACGGCTGAAGCGTAATGTGAACTCACCAAGCCAGACAAGGCCTATGACTACTCGAGCATGAACAACCTAGTTGCAGTTGATCCTCTTATTATGGTAGTTGTGTCACCCTAGTTGTCTCAGGATATTTTGACAATTTTTGATAGGTATAGCCTGGTAGGGCTATCAGTTGGTGCCAGGAATGAGAAATCTTTTGAGGGGATACTAGTACACAGCGGGATCTTTGATTTGTTTGGGCCATCTCAAGCAACTTCAAGTTTGGGAATGGTGTTGACTCACAACAATTCCTAAACCTTATATTATATATCAAATGACACAATCAGCCTAATTGCCTGATTGGCAGGTGTACCTATTTTATTCATTGTTGTTCATGTTTAGTACCTGTTTGGAATGACCCCCTATACTCGTTCTATTTTGTACTACATGTGTGATGCTCATATATATATATATATAATTATTATAGTAACAATAATAACAATAATAATATATATATAATTAACATATCTTAAGATAGGAACGATTTTTATTGTAATGCTCACCATGTTTACCATCATTTATTATTATCGTGCACATGGCTATTCAACCAAGGGCTGATTATTCCCTGGTGGTTTGGATTCCTGGGATTTCCTTGTGAAGGATCAACTAGGCACTGGCTGAGTTACATTTCGAATAAAGAAAATTACCCATCTATAACTAATCATATATTATCTTCTATGCATAAATTATTTGCCTATGAAAAAGCCGTTTTTTTTTTTCGGTTGCCGTGTTTGAGTACCGAAGGGTAAGCCATCATCATGAACCAGCCATCGTCTCGCGCAGGTCGAAGAGCCTTGGACGTCTCGGTAAAGCGTCTACGCTTCGGATCGCATGCGCCTGCAGTGCCGGCACCACCGGTGCAGTACGTGTTGGATCGGCTGGTGGTGCCTGGGTTGCACTCAGACCAGCCAGTTTTGGAACGGTGAATGGAGAGAGAGGGAGCTTAGGAGCTATATGGTTGCATCCAGAATTTACCAACCACATCATAGTTGGTAAAGATGTTTGAAAAATGTTGGTTGTATAGACCCTGAAAATTACGATGATTATTATAGACAGTTTCTGATCGGAATGCTAGAACTACTTCTTCAAGAAAAAATGCATGTTTGATATTTTTCAGTGATTTACAATGTTTTCACTGCCTTGTTCAGGTTTGTGGAGAAGACCCACAGTTGAGACTTTTCATGGCGATAAAATCAAATCCCTATAGATGGACTCAGGCCCGACTTCCAACATGTTACCCCATTAATCTTGGAAAGAAGACCAAACCACTGATCTTGGAAAGGGCAGGTCCCATGCAAATGTCTATAATACACACATGTTGGATTATTGTTGGGTTCCTTTCGTAGAGTGTTGCCCTCTTAATCAATTAAAGCTAATGGTTTTCAAGCGCCACCGATGGTGTTAAACAAATGATAGTGTATTATCGTATTTGGCAAGAAAATATAGGAATTCGACGGGTTCGCTGCATCATCAACCAAAAACATACTGTATCCTATTGGGCTTGGGGTCTAGGCTTGTCTTTCTCGCATTGGTATGCAAGACATCATCTCAGCCCACAAGCTCCATGAGTCTGGCCCTGGTGAAGACTTCCCCTGCTATCGCATTTGATTGGGAAATTCACCTCACTCACCATCAAAGCCCCCATCAAACCCAGTAAGACCCATGAAACTCCAATAAACCGTATTTTTCATGGTAACCCAGATCAACCCATAGCATATCCATTGGATCGTCGCGATCAGATTTGAGGTGGACGTGCTGCCGGCAGTTGATGCCTTTCATGACGCCCTGGAGGGGGAAGATGTGGCGACCATTTTCAATCAAAGTTCCGCAGTGTCACCTTGGCAGAAAACACCTGGGATCATGTGGGATATTGTCAGATACACCAGGATATAGAGAGAATAGAATAATATGGATATAGTACTGCAAACGCCAAAAAAGATAGAAGAGCAATTTTCCCCACTATTTAAATAGATGGTTTCTTTCCTATGGTTTAGGGTTTACTATATATATATATATATATGCCATATATCATTGAGAAGAATATATATAAATTCGGACTGTCATCCATGATGCCAAGCCAGGATTTTTGCTCAAAAATCCCAGGTTGTTATATATGTTGCTTGGGGGTTGTCATTTCAAGGTGGTTTTCCTAGCTGGCCACGTTGGAGTGTTTGCTCGACTCCATCACAGCTGACCTTTTGACAGGTTTCAGCTTGCCATGCTGTCATTTTTTGAGAAAATCATGTGGCAAAGCCAATAGTAAACTGTAAACCTCCAATTGTGTCGTTTTTTCATTGGGCTTGGCAATTTATGTAAGTTTATGATGTAAACATGTGTCAACACTTCAAGCGGTATGCAGACGATGAGATGGTTTAGAGGGCCAATCTCAGGCCAAGTTGGTGCAAATTTTTGCGGCAATCGAGGTCAACGACATCGATGAATCATGCCATGGATTGAATGTACTGGTAGCCTATCTTGTCGAAGGACAACATACCACAATTGGATACAATTGGTAAATCATTTGCTAATTTACGTTTCTAATGGTTCCTAAAAATCTAAGAAGAGGATCATTCCTCCCAGGTTTCTTTGACAGCTTAGCAGGCCAGTGCCATCCAGGCTGCGTCACGTCGATGATTTCCTCGAGACCTTCTTCGTGGAAGGGGCAGCGGACGCCGTCGCGGCTCCGATGTACCGAATGCAACTGGCCTCCCGACAGTGTCCTGGCTGGCTGGCTGGCTGATGAACCACCAAACATGGCGGATGAATCAGCAACAAAAATGAGGATTGACTGATTGACAGTTGATATATGTTGATATGCTGTAGCCAATTTATGTTGTGTGATTTATGCATATTTTGATATGCTGCAGCCAATTTAATTTATGCTGTGTGATTTGCAAATATATACACATATATATATATATATATATATTTACAGTATATATATATGAATAGTTATGATAGCCAAATTGGTAAACATAAGTTGGTGAATTCTACGGTTTATGGATGAATATGGTAGGTATAGTTCACTTATACCTGGTGGTGCACCATTGCTGTTGATGTGGAGAAATAGGGCTAGTTTCCCTTATAGCGTTGGATCGACAAGTGGAATGAGAGGTCCTCTAATGTCAACATCGTATTAATAACCCCCCCCTCCCCCCCCAAACATTAAGAGCATCAGAAAAAAGTTAGGGCCAAACATTCAACTATCGTAAAAATTACCTATGTATTCCCAAATGAATTGCCTAATTGAAAACGAATACATAAGGGAACTTTCCAAAAAAAAATCATCTATGTATTCCCAAATGAATTGCCTAATTGAAAACGAATACATAAGGGAACTTTCCCCCCCAAAAAAAATAACCTATGTATTCCCAAATGAATTGCCTAATTGAAAACGAACACATAAGGGAACTTTCCCTCCAAAAAAAAAACACCTATGTATTCCCAAATGAATTGCCTAATTGAAAACGATTACATAAAGGGAACTTTCCAAAAAAACAAAAAACCACCTATGTATTCCCAAATGAATTGCCTAATTGAAAACGAATACATGAAGTGAACTTCCTTGGAACTTTAGTATTCACAAATGAATTGCCTAATTGAAAACGCATACATAAAGTGAACTTTCTTGAAAGGGTTTAGAATGGAAAGGGTTTAGTAAGGAAATCGACCATTTGAGCCTTGTTGATTTTTTTGCACTCCAGAACTTTTCAGGCAAGATTTGGAGTTTGGAGTTTACTGCTTCCAGCTCAAAGAGTCTTGATGGCTTCAGAAAGGGTTTGAGAAAGGGTTCAACTAGGAAAGGAATTGAGAAACAAATTTAATAAAAGGACCGGGTAACCCCACAAGTCAACTTCTTCCAATATTGAGCAAGAAATCTTGTTGCGGGGACGGGGAAGGAAGGAAAGACAAAGGAAGAGGTGGAGGAAAGATGGTGTGTGACAAAGTTGTTTGCGTGAAAGATGGTGTGTGACAAAGATGGTGTGGTGAAAGATGGTGTGTGACAAAGTTGTGTGTGAAAGAAGGTGTGTCAAAGATGGTGTGTGACAAAGTTGTGTGTGAAAGATGGTGTGCGAAAAATTGTCTGTGACGGTGTGTGAAAGATGGTGTGTGTGTGTGTCAAAGATGTGGTGTCAAAGATGGTGTGTGACAAAGGTGTGTGTGTGTGTGAAAGATGGTGTGTGAAAAATAGTGTGTGACAAAGTTGTGTGTGAAAGATGGTGTGTCAAAGATGGTGTGTGAAAGATGGTGTTGATGGTGTGTGACAAAGTGCTGACAAAGATGGTGTGTCACAGATGGGGTGTGAAAGATGGTGTGTGACAAAGTGGTGTGTGAAAGATAGTGTGTGACAAAGTGGTGTGTGAAAGATGGTGTGTGGCAAAGTTGTGTGTGAAAGATGGTGTTGATGGTGTGTGAAAGATGGTGTATGACAAAGTGGTGTGTGAAAGATGGTGTGAGAAAATGTGAAAGATGGTGTGTGACAAAGCGGTGTGTGAAAGATAGTGTGTGACAAAGTGGTTTGTGCAAGATGGTGTGTGACAAAGTTGTATGTGAAAGATGGTGTGGCACAAAGTGGTGTGAAAGATGGTGTGTCAAAGTTGGTGTGTCAAGGATGGTGTCTGAAAGATGGTGTGAGACAAATTTGTGTGAGAAAGATAGTGTGTCAATGTGGAGGCTCTGTGTACTGCGCCTGCCACGCCAAAGGCAGCCGCGGCCCCAGCGGCGGCCACGCGCACCGCAGCTCGTCCAGGAGGCTCTGTGTACTGCGCCTGCCACGCGAAAGGCAGCCGCGGCCCCAGCGGCGGCCACGCGCGCCGCAGCTCCTTCAGGAGGCCCTGTGTACTGCGCCTGCCACGCGAAAGGCAGCCGCGGCCCCAGCGGCGGCCACGCGCACCGCAGCTCGTCCAGGAGGCTCTGTGTACTGCGCCTGCCACGCCAAAGGCAGCCGCGGTTTCAGCGGCGGCCACGCGCGCTGCAGCTCGTGAGGCTCTGTGTACTGCGCCTGCCACGCCAAAGGCAGCCGCGGCCCCAGCGGCGGCCACGCGCGCCGCAGCTCGTCCAGGAGGCTCTGTGTACTGCGCCTGCCACGCCAAAGGCAGCCGCGGTTTCAGCGGCGGCCACGCGCGCCGCAGCTCCGCCAGGAGGCTCTGTGTAGTGCGTCTGCCACGCAAAAGGCAAGCTCTCTGTACTGCGCCTGAGTGAGTGAGTGAGTGAGTGAGTGAGCGAGTGAGGGGCGCGGCGGCGGCGGACGGAGGAGAGCGGCGGGATCCAAGCGAAAAACAAGAACCCCACACAGTGATGTGGGGAATTAACCACCAAAATTTTAGAACCCTGAAATCCAAATACTTTATTTAGGGGTGTGCAAACATACATTATTATTTTGATGTCAGGGGACTTCAAGGCTACCCCCTTTGCGCGATTGTTTTTGACATTTTTTGAAAGGGTTTAGTAAGGAAATCGACCATTTGAGCCTTGTTGATTTTGTTGCACTCCAGAACTTTTCCAAAAAAACAAATCACCTATGTATTCCCAAATGAATTGCCTAATTGAAAACGAATACATAAGGGAACTTTCCAAAAAAAAAATCATCTATGTATTCCCAAATGAATTGCCTAATTGAAAACGAATACATAAGGGAACTTTCCCCCCCCCAAAAAAATAACCTATGTATTCCCAAATGAGTTGCCTAATTGAAAACGAACACATAAGGGAACTTTCCCTCCAAAAAAAACACCTATGTATTCCCAAATGAATTGCCTAATTGAAAACGAATACTAAAGGGAAAAAACGGAAAAAAGCGGGGAAAAAAAGTTGGCGTACTTTATTGCGGGGGGGTTTTATTATTGTGAACCGGGAGTTGGCGTACTTTATTGCGGGGTGGTTTATTAACGCCATGTGAACATTATATAATTTCTTCTTTGAACTTTATCGAGCTATACACTGTTTATTAGTATTTTTGATTTCGGTTGGTTTACCACGCAGTATACTGTACTCGTATCCCACTAAAAGTCCGGGCTGGCTGGACACCAAAAATCAACAAATTACATTTGCTTTCCCATGATCATGATTTTCCAATGTCGCATCGGCACCGGGCCAAGGATCATGTTGGTCCAATCGATCTTCCGAGACTACGTGCTACTCTCAGGGAATGCCACGGCTCAGACTTCCATGAGCGAGACGATAGTGGCTGGGTCAAAGTTGGTGGGCCCTTTTGGTGGTTTGTGGGCACCAGATTCAAAGATTCCCACAAAAATGACTTGTGGAGGTTTGCAAGCCACCATTTGAATGCGATGCTGTTGTCCTGTTTTTTCTGCTTGTTTGATCCTTTCAAGATCAAACCCCATTGATATCACCATTAATTAAAACCCATAAAATCCTCATAAATCCCGTTCATACCACCATTAAATCACATTGAATCCTCATAAATCACGTTCATACCACCATTAAATCACATTGAATCCTCAAAAATCCCATTGATAACACCAGAATATAAATCACATTGAATCCTCAAAAATCCCACTGATAACACCAGAATATAAATCACATTGAATCCTCCAAAATCCCATTGATAACACCATTATATAATTCACATTGAATCCTCAAAAATCCCATTGATAACACCAGAATATAAATCCCGTGAAATCCCTATAAACCTCATTAATCCCTTTAAAATCATATAAAACCCCTCTAAATTCCCAGATCTTGTGATCCCAAGTCAGCACCAAGATGCACCAGGCCAACTTCGAAGCGGTTCATCGGGCCCTTCGTGAGGGTGGCCGGGGCGTTGCCAAGCTCAGTTTAGTTCGCCAGGCCAGGCTCCAAATGTTGGATGATTTGGGGCTACCCCCATTAGTTGGGAACAGAATGGTAATGTTGCTGGTAAGTGTATTGCGATATATTGCGATGTTTGGGATTGGAATATGTTTTAAAAATCCATAGCATATTACTAAGTAATATGGTCAAAGAACTGGTAGGGGTAACTATATAACTTATCCAGCTCATGTTGCTCCAGGTTTCTGTATAGCAGCAGTTCTTTGATCAATGCAGGGAGGTATTGCGACGTGAGTCCTTACCACGGACCAAGAATCAGACGGCACCATGCCCCCATAGCGTCCCTTGACGAGAATAGACTGTTTCCTTCAATTTCAAGCCATGATGATCAATGCTCCGATTCCATGGTTTCTTCCAAGCATTGAATGGTTAAATGTGTTATAGTAACTAAACTATATACTTGATGATGTAATATCCAGCACCTCAATGAAACGACTGAACTAGTCAAATCTTTCTATAGAATTCTAAATGGTATTTGGGCATTAAGATTTGATAACTTCGATAGTATTTGTAGTCCTGGGTTCTTATTTAAGGATCATCGTTGCTGTTCGCACGTCAGGACGTCCTGAAGCAATGGGATCGCATCAGTGCTGTTTGGGGAACCTTCCGGCAGCAGGTTTTGGTCATACCGGGGGCTTTGAGCGATCGCGTGACAGTGCTTGGATGCTCGGAGCATTTTGATGGATTGATGGGTGATGGTTTTGATTGAGATTGTGATCTAGGGGAGTGACATGGATTTAAAGTGTGTTTGTGTGTGTGTGTTAACTAATCATGGGGAATTCGTGATGATGATGATGATGATGATGCTGCTGATGCTGCTGCTGCTACTGCTGCTGGTGGTGGTGGTTGTGGTGGTGGTGGTGATGGTTGTGGGGCTGCTGATGGACAGTGGGACAAATAATTTCTGCCAAAAGACTAAAGATTTCAAAGGATAGAGAATCTCTTTGATGACTGGTGGCTACATACAATACGTATGTGCAGTGCCCATTGTGTGTCAGGGTCTATGTGTTGGCATTTTCCGGTGTATCATATGATTGGATCATTCTTGCAAATTCTAAGGTAAATTGATTTGAAATTCCGATCGATACATTGTCCTTTAGTCTCAGGCGCCGCAGGATGCCAGATGGAGATTTGTAGCAACCCCTTTTGCGGATTGGCATTGGATGGCCATTCATCTAGCCATCAAACACGCTGAACAAATGAAGAAGAAACCTATATATACGTGGGTGTCAATACCATGAGTTCCCGCTTTTTTGCTTTCAATGTTCATTAATTGATTGGTGGTTTCTTACACTGTTTTTGTAGATATCTTGATCCCGTGACATGCATGGTTCTAACCATTGCCTTCTTCAATATCCAGATATTTGCATGGAACATACCCCAGTAATTTATAGTAATTTATTGTATGGGGGGTACAAGGAACAACGTACTGAGTACTGCTTAACCTACGACAAAGGACCCGCTTAACTCAGGCAGCGTGCAAGCGACCTTGAACAGCTTAGTGGCAGAGTTCCCGGGCAGCGCCGGGCAGGGGCCATATAGGGTCCCAGAATTGTACCGGCACCATGAGTTTTCCCATTGGAAATGGGATTCCCGCAGGGAAAATGTAGGTTTAACTAGGAAAATGGGGATACAATGGGCATGAAATCAGCTTTGAATGATGACAATTAATTGGTACAGGATAACAATACAATATGCATAAAAAGGATTTGCCAACCAGAATGGAAGTTGCCAATCATGCCAGTACTGGGGTATCTTGTGGGCATTGAATGGCTGCATGTTATGGGATATACATAGATATATAACCAACTTGATATGGTTTTTGGATGTGCTTGAGAATGGAATATATCATAGTACCATGTAGCACCCACCAAATAGCCATTAGGGAAAATGATTATAAATTAGTGGATTTGGGGAGGCCCTAATCATGTTCTCAGACGAACCCCATTGCAGGGACATTCGTTGAACACTCTCATACTTGCCATCCGGTAATCGAATGTGGCAATGGAAGATCCACCATTTACACTCATCTATGAAAAAAAAAGCTATTGAAAATGGTGATTTATATGGGATTTACCCATTAAAAATGGTGATTGTTTTCCGTAGTTATGTTCGTTTACAAGAGGGTACGCTCATCTAAAAAACATAGGCCTCAAAACGATTTTCCCATTAAAAACACATAGCCAGGGATTTCCTGGCTATCCACGTTGGATTACCAGAAAGTTTCATGGTACACACATGTACACACCCCGTGTTGTTTTCTCTTGCAAGGCTTGAAGTTGGGGTGCAGCTGTTTGGTATTCAAGATGAGGAGATGAAAGGAGATGCCGGGCGATGGTTTTACAGCGGTTGCGGCTGTTGGGTAGTTGTGGATTTTCAAGGCAATTTTTTCCATCAAAAAACATGGTTTTCACTGATTTAACCATTAAAACAATGTGAAAGATGCTGATTCAACCATATAATGTAGAAATAGTGATTTAACCATCATGGGCCATGGGGATTCAATCACCACTTTGTGACCGGAAAGTCAGTGGCTCGCACAGTGAAGAATCAGAGCGCAGACAATGTTCAGCAAAGCCACTGTAGTGCAGCCCCTACTCAGTGTGAACAAAAAATGCCTGGGGACTGCTGAGTACGGGCCATGTGAAACGGGAACCCTTGCTACGCATTCGGGAAAAATGTCCAAGCCCCATACTCGTATAATGAATACCCAACTGAAAGCTTATCTAGTTTCGTTGCGTACCGAAGATTAGAGGTGACTAGGAGCTGGTTGATAAACCCATGAGGATTCAAACCGAAAGTCTTCTGTTTGGGGAGAAAGGGAGATCCCTGGGGACGGAAGACCAACAGAAAACCTCTACAGTATATACTGTATACGAATGGTTTTCCGCAGTTTTTGGTAGCAGAAAAATCCCGAAAATCAGTGAGCTCAGGAATACATATGGCCAATCATTGCTTATTCTTGCTTCGTGGTGTGCATGCTCGGGTGCATCTGCGCAGCTACTTGTCACCATACCTGGATGAGGGCAACAATTGTCAACGAGGTTTGCTTTCTTTTGGGGCGGAAAGGTTTCCAAGAATCTAAGATTAGTCATGGATTTTCTATGTAGCCTTCACAAGAATCTTAAACACCTATGGAAAGCATGGTGCCGGGAGGAAAGTCAAGTGAGCCCAGGGCCCACGGCTGATGCTTTCGTTACCCTCTGGCAAGCAAACAAAAAGCTATTGAAAATGGCCATGGAAATAGTGGATTTACCATTAATTAAAATGGTGGATCTTTCCATAGTTATGTTATATAGTTTACCAGAGGGTGTATTTTGTTCTTTTGTAGCTGGTTTAAGGGAGATGAGATGATCTTGATATTCTTCCACGAGCTAGGAGTCCCAACCAATCAGAAGAATGGGATGACATTGACTTGGCACAGCGCAACTTCAAGAACCCTATTGTGGTTCCCTTACTTGATCCCTCAACCTTTCACAAGTCGAAAAGCGGCGCAAGATTGGGGGGGCATGCAATGCAGGTGCACCATGTGCAGTTCTTTAACGTTTTCTTCTCAGCTTCCCAAATGTTCTCTCTAAATCTGTCAAGCGAACTGAGGCAATTTATGCCGTCAAGCGCTATTCCCGGGAGCGGGAAGAATGGTCAGCGCATGCCCATGACAAAGTCTGACATGCCTAAGAGATCCTGAACCCATGGCTGTGTAAAGTTTTTAACTTTCTCGCACCATGCCTGGATTCGTCCTTTTTTGATCAAGTGCCGGGTAGCTTTCACTGGAGCTTGGGTTGGGGCATGTTGGCTTTCGGGCAGTTGATGGAGATGTATGATTTGGCTCAAGCATGGGGCTCCAATGAGCCCATAAAACTGTCATGGCTTGACAGGAGGGCACTTGGGCCAGATAAACATTGGAATCGATACCATATTATGATACCATGATTATCACAAGCAGAAGTTGGGAGATACTGTAACCTCTGCAATCATGGCGTGCTCATTTCTTATGAGGCTGGCCGTGCTGTGTACCCAACCCAAAAGACCCGCACTTGACAAGCGCCCTGAGGCGGCAGTAGATTAGAAGAGGTTCGGTGTGAACTTTAAGCTGCCAGAAGTGGGTGACGGCAAACGCCTCTCCAACATTGCCTTGACATTGAGGATCTTAGTATTGTTTACTTTAACTGAAATCAGGTGTTCTTTTTATGGATGATATTGCTCAAGACATTGCTGAATTCTCAACTGCAAATTCCAGATCTAAGTTCAACACCCACCCAGCGCACGTGTGCTTGATATTTGAGCAGTTTTCGCCCACAAGGGCCTCGGTACGTACGGGCAGCCAGTGTTTGGAACGATGCCCATTTTTGTACCACTTTGATATGCTGTTGCTGAAGGTCGTTGCCATGTTACTAATACGCCAACTTGGTGGCAGTTGAAAATCAATTCTTTCTCTGAGGTAGCACTTGCATATCGTGAACATCTTGGATGGCGACCATTCCCCAACAGAATTCACACTCGCTCCAAGAGGAGGTTTTGCTACTGTAATCTCAAGCTGGGTAGCCTGGTTGATGCACCCACACATCCCCCGTCACGCCCTTCGGGGCACAGCGACGGCGTTCCGGGCCTACGGCGAAGCCGTTGGTTGACTTTGACCGGGCACCACAAACCCACGTCCTCACTGAGGGCCAAACCCCCGACTCTGCTCGTTGAAAATCCTGCGTACTGGTGCCTTTCAAACGGATGCTGCCCTACAGACCTTCAACAGATACGGGATCTGATGTCAACAGATTTCTCCCGCTATAAAGGTCCTGGGGTCGTTGTTTTTTCTGCCAAGGGGCTAACTGCCCAGGTTGAAGCAGTGCGGACCAATCCTGGCACGCGAGATGCTTAAATTGTTGCAAGGTCAAACCTGCAAGGTCAATCTGCGAGTGATAAACCACTAGGTTGTCAATTAGTTGGGAATATGGGGGATTAATATTTGGAACAAGCAGTATTTTAGGAACCCAGGTAAAAAAAAAATAAATTGCTGGTTTTTTCATCCTGATGTGACATTTGAAGCGAAGCTGTCAAACATGCCATGGCATTTTGCTGGACATTGTTCGACCCACAGAGCGATCCAAGCTGCGCCCTGTCAATCAGCAAAGACGGCATTCAAAATGCCCACGATCTCTTCCGAGTAAGGAACGGAAGCGGTCCTGGGCAAGCAAGAATGGCATGTGAGGCACGGCTGGTGTTGGAAGCAAGTGTGGAGTTGTTTTCAGTCCAATCCAAAGCTCAGTTCTTGATCTTCTTTCTCTTGGCTATTGAAGTTTGCATTTGGCCAGCTATAATTTGCTGTAATCTATATCAATCTTAATCTTATAAAACCAATGATCACCCCGCAGTTTTGATGGTTACGGCTTCGTTAGGGCTGGAACAGCCGTGGTCTTCAAGGAGGGGCCCTGTGTGGGGCCCTCTGAACTTCGTTTTGTAGGACAGCCCAGCTGCTCCACGCCAGAAGAGAAGCAAGGAGGCACCATTGAAGCGTTCAATGGACAGGTAGGGGATGGTAGGGGTAGCAATTTTACAATCAATCAGATTCAACAAGGCTCTGGGGCCTCTAGGGTGTCACGGAGATTTGTTCAATCAGTTTTTATAAAGTTTATATATATATATACATATAAATACATATAGCCAAAGTAAACGATGAGGTATAGGCTGCCGTTTGATATTTTGCCGATTCTTGGGGTATCTCTACCTTTTTTTCAGTCAAGCAAAACCGATTTGCAGGATGCGGCAAGTGGAGAGAATGGGCCACCTGCGAAGAGCTTGTGTCCTGGTTCAGGATGAAAGGCTGGGGTTGTGTCACATGTATTCATGGGGAAAATGAATGAAACCCACATGTCAAACAAAATTAAACATGTCTAATCCGTGGGAGTTTGGGGCAGTTAACTCAGGTGGACCATGCTGTTTTGATGATTGAGGCGTGGATGTAGCCGAAACAGTAGGTTCAACCGCTAAGATTTTATAGTTTGGATGTGGGTCAAGATCTATGAAACCATCCCCAATAGATCCAAATAGATCCTAATAATGGATGATTTTAATTAGACGCGTATCGTATACTTACTAAAATAGTTGAAGGTGAACAGGTGTTTTTTCATGGCCCATCGGTCAGTCCCCTATTTTAGGCCGCCCATATCAATTCTACCCGAGCATTTCGTACATTTTTTATTTTTTTGCTTTTTTGCTCTGTGTGTGTGGATGCGTGTGCCATTGTCTTCAATCAGTGGCTCAAGACAGTCCCAACTAGAGCTGCTTCCATTTGGCGATTCACTGCGCGAGTGGGCGCATCGCCAGTTCAGGTGCCTCAAGTCAGCCGGTGTGGTATGGTTATTATATTATATTATATAATATATAATACCTTTAACTTTGGTTGAGTGGTTTTTACCTTTGATTGATAGCAAATGCAAACTTAAGTCATGGAATGGTTCTTCACTAACACCTAAGGGTCTTTGAATCTCACCTTTTTCCACTGCCAGGTGCTTTGCGGCTCTCGCGGCTGCTGCGGCTACTGCGGCTTTCGCGGCTGCTGTGGCTATCGCGGCTGCTGTGGCTATCGCAGCTGCTGTTTGGCTGCCGCGGCTCTTGCGGTGCGCAGCGGCTCACAGCGGCTGTCAATTGCTTTCGCTGTTGAGGTCAGATGTTTGTGTTTGTTTGATGGGTGTTTCTGGCAGTTTTAATTTCGATTGTGCTTACGCACAGGGTCTTCAGTAGACATCCATTGGGAGAACTTATCATTTAAGGATTCTGGACACGTGAGGTCTCTGAAATGCAATGTCACCATTTTTTCAGCGACGGTAGCTTTCATGTTTGGGATACTTGGTAGTTTAAAGCTTCAGTTCTCCGGTCGAACATGTGCAGGACACCGGGCCTGCTGCGCATTCTCCACAGGCGCCTGCCGACTGCGAATGCATGTTTCTATTATCGTGGATTGGCGCAGAGAGAATTTTCAAACTATTCTGATAGTCAGATAGTCAGATCATCTTTTCTACCACATCTAGTCAGATCAACTTGATGGCATCTTTTTGGTGGATTGAAGGCAGGCTTTTGTTCTCGCAGGTAGTCATGATTAGGACACATAATATGTTGATTTTATTACTGATGTCTATACAAATGAACTTCTTTGTTCGTCTTTCCCACCTTTCTATTCGACATTTCTTGCTGGTCTTCATGTCTCCCGCTTGGCAATTTTTGATTTTGAATGTTCACTGCGGTTTGTCCAGGTCTTCGCTTCTACTTGGCAGTGCGCGCAGCTGTGGCAGCGCAGGCTCGGCCATGCTGCGCTGCTTGGTCGGTTGTGGGTCCAAGATGGATTTTTATTGAGACTGTTTCAAGATATGCTTCATCCGGAAAAGAGGGCCGCCACCAGTGAGTCAACATAACGTCCTGCAATATCGCAGCTCGGCTCAGCGGTTCTTTGGCTCCTTGGCTCTCGACCTGCGCTTTGCTGTTGCGGTTGCATCATGCGAGCTTTTTTCGGTGTTGGACGATCAGCTGGCACTCCTTCCAATGCCGGAAGCGAAGAGGGGCCTCAGCCGGGTGATGTGGTGGTGGCAGGGACACCTGTTACCTTTCATCCGCCGCATCCTGCGGAAGTTGTCTTGGCGCATGAAGTGGGTCGGCCAGAGAACTTGTCAGTGGCTGCCACGGCTGAAGCGGCTCAAGCGGCTGAGACTATGGTGGTGCACACGAATGACCAGCGCTTGCAGATTGCGCAGTCCTTGAAGAGCAGCCTCAACCAGGAGTTCCAGCCCAACATTTGTATGCTCAACACCGATCAGCTTTGTCGTCATGCTTGCGACCTGGCCACGGCTCCAGACTGGATGAAGGAGTGCTACAACACGCAGCAGAACTTCACCTGGGCACTAGCTGGCTTCAATGTGCTTCTGAGTTCGTTCTTCCGCAGTGGCACAAAGACCAGGCAGTCGCTGCAGGAAGTTACGGCTAGTGTTTGGTCACTGATAGAGCAACTTTTGGTGGATCTATTTTGGATTTCCATGTTTATGTCATTTTTTGTTAGAGGTGATTTTTTGCCTCTTCTGACTGCTGCTGCCGCAGCTGCTGAGGAATGATCGTGCCTGACCCCACTATCATCGATGAGGCCAAGGAGTTGATGCAGCAGATGCCCAGACGGGATGTAATTCCTCCTCGTTGGCAAGTGGTTGCTAGCATGTAAGAGGAAGTTTCCTGAGGTGTATTTTCTTTGTCATGAATCAAGTATGTTGATTTGGCATAGGTCAAAGGATTACTAGATCACCAGTGCCAATCTTTGTTTCAAGTTTCATCCTTCCACGCTCAGATTGCACAAGCGGCGCGGGAGATCTTGGACCAGTTCTATGATGCTGACACTGATGACCAGGGGCGTACGTACAAGGCCTTCATTCTGATGATGCCCTTCGTCATGAACGGACAAGCCAGGGGCTGCCAACTCATGGAAGTTGAGGACCGGACCGGATGACCTAACTGACTCCAAGATTACGAAGCATAATAACTTTATTAATTAATCAGAAGTAAGGTTAGAAGCAGAAGAAGCAGAAGGATGACAACGACAACGACACAACAAAAACAACGACAACAACAACATCGGCAACAGCATGCACCCATTGCAACAGCAACAACAGCAAAAACATCATCATCGCCAACAACGTTTGACTTTTCCAAAGCTCTTGCTGCTGTGCCTGCTGCTACTACTACTACTGCTGCTGCTGCTGCTACTGCTATTGCATCTAGTACTGCAACTGCTACTACCACTGCTACTGCTACTACTACCACTGGTACTGCTACTGCTACTACTATGTACTAGTACTAGTCCTAGTACTACTA